TAGTTAAAACAACAGCCCCCCCCCCCCCAGTCAAACAACCCACACTTGGTTTACTTACAGCATCTAAAAGACTGCTTGTTCAAAATGATGAGAACAAAAGAACTGAGAGATCATTTTACACACACCCCGATTGTCACAAACACATACTGTTTTCAATTGGTTTTATAATGGGGTAGGAAAAAATCAAAACCTCATCCACAGTGCCAACATAGAGATGAAATACAGGCTCTACTGACAAACCCCCTACTAACTTAAGAATGCGCCAGCAATTCATATTGTAATTAGAGACATTCCCAGATTTACGTGGGATTACAGATGCATATAAGAGATGTCACCAGTGGAGAGCATGCAGTGCTTTATAGAAAGGCAGGGGCAACACCTATGTGCAAACCAGCTGTACCGCAGCAGGGGCAGTTACCTTCTGCTGGATACATGCTTCCCAGAGGCTGGGAAGGGAGCCAGTGCTCTTTTAAACTTGCCAGGTAAGCTGCTTTGGTGGTGTCATTATGGTACGTGCTATTAACCAGCTGCTACGGTCTACTTCAAGGACCATCAAGCTGCAGGGAGAAACAAGTAACCTCTCACACTGATGTTTCCACCAGCACTTGAGCAGACATGATGAAGGCTGACACCAGCACAGTGAACTGAGCTAACGAGAGAAGAAAAAAAAAAAAAGAATAAAGGAAGCACCATACCAATAACCTGCAGCTCATCTAGTCCGACAACTTGTTTCCAACCTTCAAAGACAGTCCTCAAAACACCTTCGGTGGACAACAGATGATTAACCTGTTGTTGTGTTGCTGTTAATCCCTTTTTTGAATTAAAAGTTTCTTGCTAGTCTATGCTCAAGCCTCTTACTAGGTGTTTTATCACAGTTGCTTATTTCTGAATCTCTCTCATTTCTGCTACCCACATTTATGCACATAAACACACACACACAAATGCATGACAACTTGAAATAACTCTTAAACTCCATGGCACAAACCAGACTATTTCTTCCCCAGAGCCACTTAGAGTTCTTAAATTACTGATTTACCACTTGAGGAGTAATGTGAGCAAATTCTGCAAAAGAAAAACCAGATAATATCATTATACTTAAATTCAATAATGAGCCTCACCCATGGCCCAATATCTGACATCAGCACCATTCATATAATCAGTTCCAGAAATTCCCAAATATTCTAAACACTCTCCTCTAAATGTCCCCCAATGTAGCCTCCCCTGCATTCAAGTATGTAGTTCCTGACTCCAAGGTCTTATATGTTTTAAAGCCCATTCATCTTCATCCTTGCCCATTTTTATTTTCCAACTGAACAACTCCGCTGCACTCTTCTCAACCACATAAAAGGAAAACAAAATCAAAACATGGTCAATAGTCTGACCACATCATGCAAAGAGTGACGTGCAAACACCAAATATCTAAACATCACATTGAAGTATGCAAGGCAACACCTGCAAGTCCAAATACACATGGGTAAGTTTAAATAACTGGTTTATAAAAGTCCAATATATCACAATAATGTCAGTGTTCATAAAAGTTACATATTGAGCCTTTCAATGCATACCGAAATAGGAAAATAATAAGCTTTTATTATGCAGAGAGACAAAGCTTCAGATCAGTTCAAGTTCATACAGTTTACAGTATTAAACAACCATACTTCAACATTGCCAGGACATGAAATGTTATTCTCTTCACTTTAAGATAGGCACTGCTTTAATCCTTGCTATACATGCATATGTATGTGTACACACGTATTTAAATATACAGTTAGCAAAGTGTTATGGTATGGCTGCATTAAATTACTCCATTCAAACCAATCAACCAAAGATGCAGAGGAACCAACATACTGTTATTTATTGTTGTAATGACACACAGTACCAGAAAGACCTAAACATAAATTACTTTGAAGTAAAAGCAGACAAAACTCACAGCAGAAAGAAAATTGTTAACCCAGAGACTTAAACCAACAACATTTCTGCAGCATTTAGTTAGAAGAGAAGAAATTACCTTGTATGTGAATGAATACTTGGAAGGAAATCACTTAAAACAGCTCGGAGCACTCTGGGATAAGAAAATATCACCTAGCTGAGTAATTAATTTACTTTCAAAATTTATCCATTGGCAAAAATAAATACATCAAAATATGTTCACATATGCTCAGAGATAAAATAGGAATTAAATTTCAGATTTTTTTCCAATTAATACAGCTCAGGACTTTCAAAGAACTGCATTTTCCACACAAAACGACTATGATTTACATCTGTGCATAAGATGCACATTGCTGGTGTCTGGGTACTCCTTGTGCAGAGGTACTGACCTCAGACCATCTGAGAAGCACGGCTGAACAGGAGAGTGCCAGATTGCACGTGTTCGTACTGAAACACCATTCCTCGTGTTAGCTATGCAAACCTACTTGAAAAGAAATGAAATGTTTCTGTCCCCCAGCCCATTTGTGAACACACCTCAGGATTGGACACACTGTCAGGGATAACCTGTTCACAGACCGTGATTTCGTACTGGCACGAACTGGAGAACCTCTCTAGTTCACCGACTGTTCTAACAGATGAAAGCACTCAGCATGCAAGTCAAAGGTAATGAACCCTTGCGAGAGATACCAGCACAAGAAAGATAAAAAAGTAAGAGTCAACACACGAAATCTGACAGGACAGATGAATGTGCTTGTGGCATCAGAGGCCTACTACAGGACACCAATGGCTTTTCTTTATTTGAATATGCAATTACAGGTAGTGAAATAATTGTCCTCTGAATTTGAAAGACCCCATTCAATGCCATGACATTGAGTCAAAGTATCTAATTTTTGTTGCATGGGCCAGCATAAGAACGGTCCTTTACCAGGGCAGTGTTTGGAGCTCAGAACAAAATGAAGGCACCACACTGATATATATATCCTGTTACAATCAATAGCCTTTTCAATCCCAATCTTTTGTAGAAGAGAAAGTGACAGCCACAAGACATGGAAAAAAGAAGCAGGTATCAAACATGTGTAGACATGGCCCTTAGGAGCATGGTTTAGCGGTGGAGTTGGCAGTGTTAGGTTTACAGTTGGACTTGATGATCTTAAAGGTCTTTTCCAATCTAAATGATTCTATGATCTGTAAATCAATCCAATTCTGTTGACATGGCATCAAACAACTTGCATGAAACAAACCCAAGAGGAAACAGAACTGAACCATTGGACTACTTCATCTGAAATTGAGAACTCCTCTTATGTCTGCAAGGTTTTAGGGGTAAAAAAACATTACATGGAAATGGTTCCTTCTGGTCTGTGGATGACTAAGCCCTTCATGCTTTCTCAGTGGCAGATGATTTATGGTCATCAGGTACTTTTCTCCAATTCCCTCCCAGTCATTCCCAGAAAGTGAAGTTCTACCTGGCATCTCCTGGCCTTTCTGTGCTGCTCTTCACTGATTTGTTGATGAAACGTCAATGAATCAGGACCACATGGTTGCTCATAAAGCTTCTGGTTTTGAAAGTATTATTGCTCTGGTAATACGGAAAGCATAGCTTACCACAGAAAATTAGAGCATGATTCACAAAAAGAACGTATCGTTTTGTACTGGGGTTGGTTTACCTACCATGTGCATTACAGTAAACCATGATCTCCTGAAAGGCTATAATGTAAGACATTTCTTATATAAAATGCATAAAGCAACAGGAGTAAGAAAAGCAATACTGAACTAGAATAAAAGAGAGCCACTGTAACTAAGCTGTATGAGAAAGCAGACAGTGGGTTTCTTTAAGAAACTTGAGATTCATATTATCTGTATAACTTGTCTTTCTACAGCAAGAAAGATTCAGATTCTTATCAGTGGAAAGACCATTTTAAGACGTAACCGATTCAAAACTCTGCATAGGAATGAGGTATATCTTTACCCAGGCATCATCCAGATCTACACAGCACTGCAGACCCTTGAAAGCCTTCTCTTTTTCGGGAGAAAGACCTTACTGAATA